GTACGATCGCTAGCCTGGGGTCTTTAACGTGCACCACACGGTAGCAATACGCAACCATACGCCGGGACGATGCCCATCCGGATTGAAGCAGGCAGGGGTGGGGACTGAACTCACAACTGAAATAGAGAACAGATTGTGCTTCTTCCAGAATCTACGAAGCGCGTGAGTCGGCCTAAGCGTATGCGATATCGTCCCACAATTCCCTGCACCGCACGGTGCGCCACGAGTTCGTCGAGAGGCCTTCGGGAGTTTCCCAGAAGGTCAAGTGCAGGCGTGGCCAAGCTGCGGCTCGCGAGTCGTGTGCTTCTCTTCGCGTGTTAAAGTGCGGCTCGCGGCTCCCTCCCCTAACCCCCTTCCCCTCCCACACACACAAACACACACTCCCCCGCCTCCCTCCCGATCACACAAGCAGTTCCCCCCCAAAAAAAGAAACAATAGGCGTTTTAAATCGAAAGACAGGTTGCGGTTTGGTAGTCTTGTGCTACTGCTATGACTTACGTACAGTTGGACTGCTTTTGACTCGGATAGATTGAAAGTATAGTTCGAGTTTCGTGTATTTCTCCAGACAAAAGTTTGCCCCGCGGCTCTTCAAAGTTTCATCGTTTTGTTTGTGGCTCTTAGGCTGGGTCAGCTTGGCCACCCCTGGTCTAGTAGTAAGTCTCAACGTTTTAGAGCGCAGCTCTTATGCGCTCGTTTCCGGTTTGAGCGGCGTCGCCGTCGCCGTAATTGCGCGGTGCATTATGGGTGAATTTCTCCGCTAAATCTAGCGGAAAAATTTCCCCGATAAATCTAGCGGAAAAAATTTCCCCGATAAATTTAGCGTAAAAAAGTTCCCGCTAAATCTAGCGGAAAAATTTCTCTGGGGGTCACGTGACCCCCGTGGTCACGTGACACCCCCAGGTCACGTGACCTAGGGGAGGGGGTCATGTGACCCCACCAAGGTTACGCGACTCCCCTTCCCCCCCCCGAAAACACGTGAACCTCAGTACCCTTCCCTCCTCCTCCTCCACCTCAAGAGCTGCGCTCTAATTCGGCGTTACAGGGAGTTGTAAACGGCTTTCATTTTTTTTCTTTTTTTGCTTTGACCACATTCCACTGTGAATAATATGGGTGCTTGTCTGGTAATCAATTTTATATATAAATGTACTATGCATATTTTCTCAGATCTTAGGAATTTGGATGTGGGCGCTTAATGTGGAATGGGTGGATGCGCGGTATTGTAAGGTACTTTTTTTAATGTTATCTAAAAATTAAAAATAAAAATTTTGTTTCATCTTTAGCCGATTATTTTTTGGTGATATTGTTTCAGATGACACACGACAAGGTAGGGATAAATTACAGAAACTAAACGTTTAATGTGGTGAACCTGTGCCAAACAAAAGATGAGATAACTGGGCGTCGCAGGCATCGATGTAGCAGCAGGATTGTGCGCTGGTGAAAGACTGACCTTGGCTCGCCACGGGGGGCCCATATGTACACGCGTGGGTTTCTGGAACAATCGGTGTAGGAGGTTCGCTGCGTAGAACGTTGGGACCTCGAAGCAACGGGGTTGATCGTCAAGGTTCCGAGTTGTTCCAATTTAAAAATCTGGTATTGCCTCGTATGTGCAAAATTACAGGCTAATCTCGTTATGTTCAAGTAGTGAAGTTATTGAACGTTTCTTATGCACCCCCCTCATTGATCTTTCTGGAAGCAAGCAGCTTCAGCAGGGAGCAGCACGGCCTGTCGGCAGTTGCACAATCCTTACACACATTCCACATACTAGTGAAAATACTTGACGAAAATGCTGTTCGAATTAAGCGCCTTATGAATACATTGAAAACATAGCAGCACAACCAAAATCTTGCCATTTGGATGCAATAAGCGGAGCTATAAAATATCCGAGTTTATTTATAGCGAGCCTACTGTATAAAGGTTGGCACTTGGTAAATGCGCAGCCATAATGTGGTTGATGCGACCAATGATACTGTGAAGTGTGTCGCTATTCTGTTTGTAAACAAATCTGTTGCAATGGGCCGGGGCACAAGCCCTTGCGGTGGGATGCCGCAGGGAAGTCAACCTCCACCTGCCCGTGGTGCACCCTGCCAGCTTGTATGCTGCAACGGAGGCTCTGGCGACTATCCTTCTACGGAAGGGTGGGCCCCCGGACAGGGGTCTGCCCTCGGGAGGCGGGGGGCAAAGCAAATATCACTACGGCAGCTGTTGTTGGCGCAGGGATTCTCTCGACCGTCGTCGACCCACTGGTGTTAGCCTTGAGTGGCCCTTCGCGGTGTCATGCTCAGCGGGGTACTTTCTTCCTGTTGGTCTTTCCTGGGCTGTTTCTTGGTGTGGCTCAGTTTTTTCTAAGTACAGTTCTCAGTTGGCTTTATGGTGAAATTCTCACTTGACCCAAGGATTCAATTCTTTTATATCGAATTGGCTTTAAATCGGCTGTGCCCATTGAGGTGGTACCAATTGAAGCAATTTTTATTTTTCAATCTTTTTACAAGCCTCACCTTATCAGATGTTGCAATGGGCCCTTTTGTTAATGCTAACCCCTAGGTTCCACACATTCTTCATGTACACTGCATGGAGTGTGTGCGCTACTTTGTAAAATGGTCCATTACTGCCCCAGATGTACCGTAGAATACCGCGCATCTGCCCATTCCACATTAAGCACCCATTACCAAATTTGTAAGATCTGAGAACATAGCTCAGTACATTTATATGTAAAAGTGATGACCGGACAAGCGCCCATCGCCCATTGTTTTGCGATTATCTCCAAAGTTTGAGTGGGCGCTTGCCCAGCATTTTACGGTAACTACAGTGTCATAGGTGATGCACGCAAGAGAACGTTGCTTGGCCATCTTTGTAAGACTTGCTTGGGAATGTCGAGTAAATTTTTCATTCTATATATTTTTGTCTGCAATGGCCCCCCTCTTCGTAGGAGTAAAAATACCTTGCCAAAAAGTGTTGCACGAATTGAGCAGCTTCCCCATGAGCTTGGGGATTTTGAAATACTTGAGGGTGGACACTACCTGAGAATGCAAACTTTTGAACTTCTCACTCAATCAGTGTGATACTTGCATGCGGTGTTTGTAGTCATATAGACGGGGGGCACGCAAAGTGTCAGCCCTGTGAACATATCTTATGAGGTATTATACCCCAGAACGAAGTAAAGTACAGCTTGCATTGAATCTGATCTATGAATATATCCTTGAGAAGTCGTGTTGATAACCACAGATTTTTCTGGTGGAATGCATACTGGAATACCTGTTGCCGGTTACTATTAAAGGAAATTGCAAAAAAAATTTCATTTTTCGAACAAAAAAAAAAAAAAAAAGACGATGAAGAAGTCTTTTTCTTAAATATTTACCTTGTTTTGCTAATTGCAATTTTTTATAACAAAGGAACATAAAAATGCACAATCCAAGTTCATAGTAACCAGCTTCATAAAATTTTCGCATATAAGTGGCAAATGTTAAGTCTCGATAGTTTCATACTGGAACAATGGTTTTACTAAAGATCTTTCAAAGAAAAATTTTGTTTTTTAATGTCTGGTTTAGACATGCGTGTAACAAGTTAATTTTTACGCTAAAACATTTTTTTTAGAGCAATATTGACGGCGAGAGATTTATTTTGAATTCTGTGTGCAAAGTCCATGACGTCACTAAATGGTCATTCTCTCTCTCCACCTCAGTGTGAAAGTGAAGCCAATCCTCCGCTCTTCACGCGCCCCAAATATTTTTTCCTTTCAGCAACTCTTTGAGGTACATGGGATTTATGCCGAAACGTCGATTGGAGAAAAACGCAAAGTGTTCGAACCTATACCTGTTCTTTAGCATTAGTGAACTGAAAATAATTTATAAAAAAAATAACTTTGCACTGTAAACAAATGAAACTTGCGGGGAATACTCTCTAGATATTGGCGGATGTAAATAGGGCATTTTTCAAAATCAACTTTTTTTTTTGCACTTTTTTTATGTGGGTAGTTTTCCTTTTAAAAATGCAACAATTCAATTTCAACTTTTTCTCTGAAAAGGGAAATTTATGTTTTCATTAATTGTTTTGTTCACATTGACAAATCGTTTTCTGATCACGCCTGTTACCAATTTTTTTGTTTGCTACGATCTGCTTTCAGTGTTTATGTCAGTGTGCCGTTTTTGGGGTCTTAAAAAGCGACCAAATGCTTACCTCACACAAGCGGCAGTACATTTGCTCAATATTCTCTTCTCAACCTTGCAGGTCGACTCTGGCAACCACCGCAAGATGCGGCAAATGGCACATTGTTGCTTTGCAGGGAGACTCCTTTCCTCTTGCCAACTCAAATTTTGGGAGCATGCATTCTCTGTGCAGTGTTCTTTCTTATACCAATCCAGCATCATTGAATCAAAATGAGCGTCTCTTATTGCATCAGACGGATCCCAGTTATTCAGATTAGCCCAAGCAGTGAACCAATGTGATTGCATTCACCACCACTCCATTTGTGCAAAGAAAACCAGTGTGATAGGGTTGTTTTGCATTGCTTGCTCTTGCCTGGTGTTTGAGACAAGATGTCAGCAATTGTGGTTTTTTAACCACATTCTGTCACTGGAAACAGTGCTTGGATACTCAAGTAGTGTGTCATTTTTCATTGATGTAGTGACATTGACTGTGTGGTGACCTTCGCTAGAACATTACTACGACGGACAGACTTCAAAGGCCACATTCTATCCTTGTGGCAGCCTTATATTTCATGGAACTTTGCAAGCCCAGAGATTAGGCTGTTTTATTGTTCTTTAAGGCTATTAGGATGCGAGATGAGCTGAGAAGATAAATTGCATTCATGAATGGGCTATGCTCATTCAAAGCCTGATATTACTTTCATGTAATAACAGCCTTACAGCTTTTCTTATTAATTAATTTGTTTTTATTTGCCGAGTTTGTTTTCTTTGTTCTGAAACGAACAGGTATCGGTACGCTTGTTTGTGTGTGCTAGTTCCTGCTGAACGCAATGCAGATTTGCCAAGCTTGTCTAATGCTTGCTTGCTGGCTTTGCACTTTCGCTGTCCTTGACGCTCCTTGTTTCTCGCGTCTCACCGACAGTGGCGGGCGAAGCAGCCTTCTCGGAAGATGAAGACAGCCAGAGCTTCTTCTCTGTCCCTACAGAACTGGTTGAGTCGCAACCCACGACGCGGCCACGACGTGGGGGCCTGTACCACTGCGAGTTCTGCCTTTACACCAGTCCCAATCAACACGATGTCGCCAGGCACGAAAGGACACACACAGGAGAGAAGCCTTTCCGCTGCTCTGTCTGCGAGATGGCATTTGCTCAAATCGGTACCTTACAGACTCACATGAGGACTCACACGGGAGAGAAACCATTTCGCTGCGAGGTTTGCCAGAAGTCGTTTGTAAAAAATAGTCGCCTGGTGATTCACAAAAGAGTCCATACGGGTGAGAAACCGTATGAGTGTGACATCTGCGAGAAAACATTTTCGGATCAATCCAACTTGTTGAGTCATAAACGAACCCACAGCGGGGAGCGGCCTTACAAGTGTGAAGCGTGTGGGGAAGCATTTGGCTCCAAAACCCATTTAGGTAGGCATAGAAAAAGAATGCACAAGTGAAAAATCTTAGCCATGAGATTTCTGGAGGTCATTCGTGTGGAAGAGTTTTCATGTTTTACCGTGTGTTTCACTGCCTGTATGTTGTTTGTTCACGTGAAGTTGAGAAACAGGGATATTCATCAGTTCTAAATGTTATCAGTTGCGGTAGGCAACAGCTGCAGTACTGCTTAGCAGCATTTTCTTTTAATGGCTGTTGTATAGAGTTTTGCTGCTTTTATCTTTGGTAATATTTTTGTTTTATGACTTGTAGAGCTACTTTTAACTTAATTTTGAGTGGATGAGGAGCATTGGGACTTACTAAGGCACATTGAATTCTGTGTATAAAATTTTGTGACGACATTTTGAAAAGCGGTTCCACCAAGTTCTCTGGATTTCCTCACATTTTGACCTACATTTGCCACATAGCTCTAGTTTGAATTGTGTTCCAGAAGTTCTAAAAAGAAATGTGCCTGTTACTGTATTCATCTGTTCTTTGTGGATTCAGTGAATCGCAAATAAACTACCTACCTAGCTAAAGGAGTTGCCTTTCTGCCCGACTACAATTGATGAGCATTCCACAATCTACGAGCTATACCAGGTAAACTTTGGTGTCAACCTTCCTTGCACTTGATCTCTGCCAGCAGAGAATCTGGGTATGATTCGGTATTGTCATGGGTGGACCATCTGCATCAAATTCTGAAAAAGTCCTTATTCTGCTACAATTTGTTATCATTCCTAGATGGAGACAAGGAAGGGCGTGTGTAAAAGCTGCTCCGAAAAAAAATTGCTGGTAAGCGTCAATCCCTCCCGTGTTCGGGTGGCTGCAAGGCGAAATTCCACTACGATTGTATTAGAGCAGGCCTTGAGGAGTATAACATTTTCATGGCCTCAGGAAAAAGCTCGTACAAATGTAATGCTTGCACCTGGCGGAACCGCATTGACGATAAGCCTAATCACGAAGAAACGTCTGACGTGTGGGGGTCGGAAATGGACAGCGAATCAGCCTGTGAAACCACCTTTAAATTAAACACCTCATGCTCGCCGAAGTACCAGGATTCTGTAGTTGAAAAGATGAACATCAAGTTAGACGTGCTTATCGCCGAAATGAAATGCCTAAGAGCGGATAATAACCATCTATGTTTCGAAGCCACCTAGTTACGGAAGCAACTTGCTAAGCGAGGGCCTGACCTGAATCAACCGAGCCTGAGTTACAGCGCTGCCGCATCATCGGGACGGAATCAGGTCGCACACAAAACAACAAATTCGAGATTGAATGCAGAAGGCTGAACTTGGGACATCGCCAGCTGAGTCCCGTGTCGACGAAGCAAAGTTCTAACAGCAAAGAAAACAACGAAGACCATGCCACGAGTAGTGTGAACCATCTTCAACAGACTTCTAGGCCATTTATGACCGACGACGAAGGCTACACTACAGTGGGGCCTCGACGACGAAAGAAGCCTTCTGTTGGAACTATGGTGCCTCGATTGCGTCTTCGACTGGTGTGTTTAGCGCCCTATCCCGCCCATACATCAAAAGTGGTTCCAATGTGGCAACAAATGACGCGAGTGTCATGATGATGATGATGATGATGATGATGCGGCTTTTCCCTTTATACCGGGCGAGCTCGAAAAGTCTTCGTGCCCTAGCCAAAAAAAACTATAAGCTATCTGTTCTAAATTTTCTTCCACCAGTGTTCCAGACGCGCTTTCGTCCTTCGCATGCACTGCATGGTAGAAATCTCATGCCTGTCTTGTGGAGGGTCGTCTGCTTCGCCCGTGTAGGGTTTGTTTGAGTCAGCCGTCGTTTTAAAGCCCAGTGCATATGCTAGCATCGCCTCTGAGTGAAGCCGGCGATCTACCAGTGGGGTTGGCAGCAGGCACTCACAGTAGAGCACTATGTGTTCAACTGTCTCAGGTTCTTCTCTGCACGCGCGGCACATCGTGGAAACCACCTTGGGGTCAAACCGCGCCCGGTATACCAGAGTTCGTAGAGCGCCCGCTCGCGCCTCGAACAGAAGGCGGCTGCCCAAGCTGTTGTCATAGAGCAGGGTTTCAGCCGCGATCAGTTGCTTGTTTTTACTGTACACCAGCAGCGTTGGCTTCGCTTGAGCGGCTTCAAACCACTGGAAGACTTCCCTCTCACGTACTCTGCTTCTCACTTTCGACTCCAACCTCTCGCCCGTCACTACCTCTAAGGGTTCTGCAAAGAAGCCATACTTTTTTTGGAGTTGATAAAGGTGCTTCTGCCACCTTGTTCTTGTCCCAGTCATGTGAGTGTATACAAAAAGTTTTTTGGCCCATCGGTTTCGATCCATGTGGCGGAGTCGTGTATCATAACTTATCTTGCTGGTGGCTTCCCTGGCTTCGAAGCTAGACCATCCTAGGTCTCCCTGGACGGCTTCGTTAGCCACATTTCCGTGGCAGGCCAGAGCCTGTCGTCCCACTGCTCGTTGTCGTCGCTCCAGAAATTCTCGTAATTCACCAGGGACGCACACTACAGCATTCGCGAAGGTCAAGCCTGGAACCATTACTGCCTTCCACACTTCCCGTGTAACTAGGAACCTATTGCAGCTCCAGAGACTTCTTTTTCGGAGGACGTTGGCCCCTCGCCCTGCTGACTGGCGAAGATGAGCGTAATGATCTCGAAGGTATTCCGGCGTATTGGCAAGGATGACACCCAAGTATTTGTACGAGTCCTCAAGTGGCACAACCTCGTCACCCAACTTAAGTGTGCAGCAAAGCGTGTCTTCGACCCCTGAGAACTGTACAAGCGCAGATTTTTTTGCGTTGAAGCCTAGGTGTCGCACAGCAGCCTCCGCAGTGCATATATCCAATAGCCGCTGCATATCTTCCGCTGTCTCAGCCATTAAAACGATGTCGTCGGCGAACGTGAGCCCTGGAAGCACCCAGTTCACCTCCTCGCCGTCCTCTAGGTGGGTTAAAGAGAAGCCCACTCTTGACTGAATTAGCCTCTCCTCCGTCCCAGCCACGTAAAGCATGTAGAGAAGCGGGGAGAGTGGACACCCCTGTCGAAGTCCCCTAGTCACTATCACGTCTTCGGATTCTAACCCTTTCATTTCTGCCCTCACCTTATTGCCCTCATAAAGAGATTGGACGAGAGAAACACACTGTTGTGGCAGGTCTAGTTGTTCCAAACACTGAATGAGCAGTGAATGAGGGACACTGTCATATGCTTTGGCAATATCCAGAAAGCAGCACAGTAATTGTCTTTTCTCCTTTCTGGCTACCTCAATGCACTGAGTTATTGTGAACAGATTGTCCTCAAGTCGGCGCCCTCGACGAAAGCCTCCCTGTAGCTCAGTAAGGTGCCCAGCCTCTTCTGCCCATGCAACCATCCTCTCCTTGAGCATGTATGCGAATACTCTGTATATTGTGCTCGTCACCGTCGGAGGCCTGTAGCTGCGGAGATGTTGGCGATCGTTCCCTTTTTTCGGGATCAAGACCACCTTGCCGAGCCTCCAATCATCTGGTATAGATGCTGTGCCACAAAGGATGTCGTTTAGTATAGACGCGAGGTGTTGTCGGGCGTCCTTTCCTAGGGCTTTGAGTACCGTTGCCGGGACACCATCCAGGCCTTGGGAGGTGTTCTTCTTAAGGTGGATTAGTGCACGCACTACACTCACTTCACCGATTTCCCACCGGCTGCCGTCGGATGAGGACTCGGCTGTCCATTCGGCTTTTGTGGCAGTGGGCATGCACTCGGGAGAAAACATCTCTTTCAGGTACGTCGTGAGGTGTGCACCCAGGTCTTCTACTTCTTGTCCTGTGCACTCATCGAGGACGGGAGTCGATTGGTCTCGACCCTCCAGTGTACCCATGTAGCTCCAAAACTTCCTCGAAGCATCTTTTCCACTGGAGCGAATGTCAAGAACAGTACGTAGGTCCGCCGTCCTCATTTTTTCCTGGATGATCTGTTTGGCGTATTGCTTCCGCGTTTGATAGAGCTTCCAGTTTTGTGCGACCATGTGCTCATGCCCCATTCGAAGGGACTGGCGATGTTCCCTGTTTGCGGCCTGCCTAGCTTGAATCGCTGTCTTTACTTCAGTGTCCCACCAACGTTTCCTTCTTCTGCGTCCGTTGGGGCGCATTCTTGAATGCCGCTTGATAAGACGCTTAAGCACATTGACGTATCCTATGTAGCCTCCAGCCTTAATTCTTTCTTTGCTCTTCTCAAAAAGTTCCGCCACCTTTGCTGCAGCATCCTCGGTAAGGTAGGGCCGCATGGAGCTTGGTGATATCTCCCTCTCCTTCTTCCAGATTGCCCTGCTGAAGACCAGCTTTAGACGATTGTGCTCGCTACTAACGCTGTGCTCCCCATCCTCGTCTATATGCACCTGCACAAGAAAACGTCCAATGCCCTGTGACACCAGGCAATAATCTATACAAGTTCTACTGCCTCTAGCACACCAGGTATATTGTCCTTCGCACATTTCCCGGAGGTTCACCACTTCCAACTGCAGCTCCTCCGCTAGCTTTTGTATCCGCCGTCCGTTGCCATCTTCCCACCCATCAAGCTCATAAATATGTCCGTTAAAATCACCCATGATGAGCACATCCTTGTCTTTTCCGACCTCCCGCACATCCCTTGCAACACAGTCCATGAGAGTTTCGTTCTCTATGTCTCGCGCACTTCCTACAGAGAGATATACCACACATAGCGCTACTGGCTTCTGTACCAGCTCGCCTGTCAGCCAGATGTGGTCTTGACACTTTCTGGGATCCCTGTGCCAAGGGGCCGCGCGGCCCCTTGGCACAGGGTCGCTGCCCCTCCACGTCCTGCCCCTCTTCACGATTGCACCCCTCCCAACACCAGCCCTGGTGCATCGGCGGTTCTTCGAAGTCCCGGAGGTGTGTTTCAGCCACGCCAAAAATGGTAATGTCTTCAGACTCGAGTGCGCTATACAATTCCTCCCACTTTTGTTCCCTCCTTGCTCCTTGGAGGTTTAAGAACCCCACTCTAACAGGTGTATGTTCGTCACGCTTGCGTCTCCGTCGTCTGCGCCTTACTCTATGACCCCGCTCTGCCCATTCCGCGTCTTCAACCACTTTGGATCGGAGTGGGCCAATGCCCCCTACCACTGTTCCCTGTCCCTCAGCTGTTGACGCACAATCTCTGTCACCATTGCCTGCAGGGCAGATGGGGACAGCGTCGGTCCACAAACTTGCCTGGTATGTTGCGTTGGTGGCGCTTGTGGTAGCATCGGCGTGATAAACCCCGGGAATCCGCCAGCTTCTTGTCGCGGTATCCTCGGCGAACACACTGACACCAGTTGGTCCATCAGTCTGGCGTGCGAGAATCCTTCCGGAGGCGGAAGCCTCTCTCTGCCAAGAAAGTGAGCTCGTGGCGGCGCTGCGTACCCATGTCCCCGGGAACAATCTGCTGAGCCGATGTCCTGCATCTGATGTCTTGGCCGTAGAGGCGCTGGCAATGCGCCCGTTGTAGAGAGGAAGAGAGTGCCATCCGGAACCCTTTGTTCGTGTAATGGAACCGGGGGCGCCCACGACATCGGTGCGACT